AGATCATGAACAACCTGAACCTCCCTAAGCCTAAAAAATTAGGTATTTAACAATAGTATCTACAGCCTTTCACTATCCATGTCATCTCCACATTTCTAGTTCTCGTGCCTATGAGACGTCACCACAGGTTTTACGTGCTGGGCGTCACATTTACTATAAACATTTTTTCCCTTGTTCTGTTGCAGATATTTCAGTGCCCGCTAATCTGGTTTGTGGACTGCACCATGTTTGAATGTGCTGCACGAAAGACGATACCAATGACATCATTGCACAGTGATAGACATTCTGTGTCTGTTTAGCAGAATTAATCAAACTGCTTGCCATAAAGTGCCTTATTGTGGTTCTGTGTCTAAATCTAAACTGTATATTTTAATTGCTGTTATCATTTATAGTGCAGCTACTGATCAATTGTACTTGAAATAAATCTGCTTCTATTTTGGATATTCAAAATAGTTAATATCTGTATTTGATGAAATAACAGTAATGGTACCCTTTGTTAACTGTGTAAAGTTAAAAGTAAGTTGACTTTATTCAGATTTGTTATTATGTGTAAATTTGGGGGGGAAGAGGAAAGCTTGGATAGGATTGTTACACTGAAGGGTTCAGTTTAGAATTTGTGAATGCTTAAAAGGTACAATTGTGTCGTGTAGTCAAGGCCTCACACACTCACAGTACCACAAGCAGTGGCCTCTTTTAATAGCAGGAAAATAAAACTTATGCTGTTTGCATTTAAAACCAATAACAGCTAAGATGTTACTGCACAACATGTCATAGCATTATGAGCTCACAGGTTCCTTTTATATGTTGAAAATGATGATTATTACTTACTCTCTATCTCTAAAAGAAGGAATCAGACTGCAGTGACCCATGCATGCTGTTCTTGTATTTAACAGATCCTCAGCCAGTAAGACGGGTTTGTTTTAGAGTGCTTCCCTTTGACTCAGCCACACAAACTTGCAGCTGTGTGACAATTTGAGCCTGAGGTTTTTGGAGGCCAGAATCAAAATGTTCATAAACAAGTGATTTCATGTGAATATAACTTTTTACTATTGAATTTTATTAAGAGAGCACCAAATCAGTTGTATGTATCAATTCTGGTTCTCTCTTCATGGGGGAACACCAGGTTAACTCTGACTTTTTATATCTTTTGCTGCTATGGATGAAGCCCTGTGGTGATGATGGTTTGAGCCTGAAAACCCGAGTGAATATGGATGTCTCATATTCACCAAAGATTGTCATTAAATAAATTCCAAGTTGAATGAACATGGTGTAGAGCTGTATTTCAATCCTCAAACAGCCTGCTCAGTAAACGCCTCTCTCTACTGTACATTCAAAGTGTCTTGAATGCAACATTGCAAGTGCTTTTGAGTAGCACATTGTAAAATCTAGGATTCAGTATTGTGTCTGTATGATCTGAAATAAAAGTCAAATTATCTCTGCTTGACCCAGAGATTTATGATCAAGTTCACAGTCAGTGAATAGCTAAAAAAAACAAGATGTACTGATACGAGCATTATTAAATAGATAGTTGTGGTTGTTCCCAATAAAACGGCGAGCCGCAGTGGTCTGTGACCTTGAGTGACTTTACGTTAAAATTAGTTTAATTAGAGAGCCATTATAAGGAGAAATGTGACTGAAAAATCTATATGGGAAAAAGCTCTAACAGCAAAGATACTTCTCTAAGTCTAACTTTTATAAAAGTAAAACACTTAAAAGTGTTTAAATTCTTCTTCATCTTATTATCAGTAATATTATTAACAATAATACTATTGATGATGATCATAAAGATAGTGTGCAGTACGTGATGTTCTTCCTTTTTATCATGATGACTTCTGAAAATTATTCTAATTTGGGGGCGTTACCAAGGCAGGTAGGCAGGTATGTAGGTAGGCAGGTAGGTGTGGTTAAGGTTTTAAATAGTCATGCTTTACACAGCAACCCAGAGTTTGTGTTTCTGTCCCGATTAAAACGCTGCCGGTTACCAGCTGCTCATACTGTGCAAGGATGGCAATGGTAAAGGGACTCCTCTTCAGACAGGTATGTTCACCACATATTTGGATGTTTTGCACTTGTTTAAAACGATCTGTTCTGAAAAAAGAAATATTGTTCAAAATTGTTGAGTTTAGATTAACCAGTTTACATAGTGGTGGGAGATGTGTTTAGATCTTCCACTAAAGTGAAAGTAGGAGTGCAGAAAACAAAATATAAAAAGTTTGTTTGTCTAAAAAGGAATAGCATCACTATAAAGTACCTTAAGTGAAAGAAAACCTGCTCAAATTACCCACTTCAGAGATGCATATCATATTGTTAATATGTTTGATATTACTTTTAAGTTGATGAAAGAACAAATCTGAATTACCTGATGCTCTGCTTAGCATCTTAATCTAAAATAGAAATTATTTGTTGATTAATAATTTATATCCCTGCCATATAACTAATGCTAATAGCTTCTGAATAAATGTGGTAGAGTACAAAGTGCAAAACTTTATTTCAAGCTTCGTATGAAAATGTCTCTCTTTGGCTACCGTAGACACACAAAGCACACGTTATCTATAAACACAAGTGAGGAGAAATGATAATAATGTAACCTTTACTACCGCTCCCATTTATTGTTAGTTATTGCTGATTGCTGCTGTGTGCTTCCCCTCCAACATTTAGCTGTTTGAGTCAGAGAGCTCCACATATACCTACCTGCTGGCAGACGCAGACACCAAGGAGGCTGTCATCATTGATCCTGTGCTGGAGACCATTGACAGGGACCTGAAATTCGTAAGCGAACTTGGACTCAAACTGAAAGTGGCAGGTATCTACATAAATTAACACAGAATCCCATCTTTCTCAACCTGCAAATACAAATTAGGAGCAGCATAAATATTTTACCTGGTTCAGAAATGATTGCTTATTTCTGACCCAAAAACGTTGTTAAGTGTAGGTGGTGCTATTTGTATGAAAGGACTCCTGCTAGTGTAATACATATATCTTTCCAAATTGGAAATACACTTACCAGCCACTTCATTGGATACACCTATTTAATACACATATTTAAAAACAGTGCATTTACGCATGTAGACATCATTAAGATAGCCTCCTGAAGTTCAGTCCAAGCATCAGAAAAGGGGAAAGGTGATTCAAAGAAACTTGACGCATATGGGCTTTCGGCTTTCGCACACTTTCGGCCCGTTACTACCAACTAAGCATCGTTTATACCTCACAGCCTACCTGAGTTACTGATGTCGATCTTTTTGTGATCACAGTGTACCTATTTTCTGATGGCTGCTTCAATCACCATAATAAGGCAAGTCACAAAGTCTGGTTTCTGTACTCAAATGGCCTCCAGAGTCACACGGTCTTAATTCACAAAAACTGTGGTGAAAGGAAGATTAGCGTCATGGATGTGTAGCTGACAAATCTGCAGTAACAGTGGGATGCTGTCATGCCTACATGCTACATGGACCAACATCTGTAACACTTAGTTGAATCTGTGTGATGAGGAATCAAAGGTGTTCTGAAAAGGAAAAAAGTGTCCAACTCCCTACTCGCTAAACTGATTGGAGGGTGTACCACAAGGCTCAATTATATTCCAGCTTTATGTTGACCTACATTATCTTTATTTTGCTGATAGTTAACACCCACTGCCATGCAGACCACATAACAAGCACAGGACCAATGAAGAAAAGAGTACCTGGACTGAAGAGTGCCATTTCCAAATGCAGTGGTGCATCTGCTGATATCCACTTAACAGAGGGAGACAAGATCCCCTTTGGAAGACACGTAAGAAGAAAAACATTATTTGTTTGCAATATCGTGTGCGTACAGTTATTTTGTAAATACCTAAAACCTTTTGTTGCATTTGCTTGATAAAACCTATTTAACTAACATGCCTTGACATTCTTCTTTTCCTTCCTTTAGTGCCTGATTGTGAGAGAGACACCAGGACACACTGATGGGTGTATAACACTGGTAACTGGGGATCAGACCATGGCTTTCACTGGTGACGCTCTCCTCATTAGAGGCTGTGGCAGGACAGACTTCCAGCAGGGTACACATACTCTTTTGGCTTTATGCTTGTGTTTTTGTTCATTTTGCATTTCTATGATTTTTATTCTTGTTGGAAAAGGGGGGAGTACAGTATCAGTTTACCTTTGCAGTTGTCTAACCTTTGCCTTATTTTCTTAAGGTTGTGCCAAAAGGCTTTACAAGTCAGTCCATGAGAAGATCTTCACCCTGCCTGATGAGTGCCTCCTCTACCCAGCACATGACTACTTAGGTTGGCTGAAAACACATCCCCAAATATTTATACATGTTACAAAGTCACC